TGAAACAGCAAACGGCCACATAATGCAAAACTATTTAAAATTAAAACGTTTTAATTTAAAATTATCTTACATTCCAGCGAGGTCCTGGTCGCTGTGGCTTTGCAGCTTGTCCCGCACGATTTCGGCGCCGCGAATAACAATGTTTAACGCTCCAGTCAACTGTGTCGGTATACGACGAAAGTATGAACAATAGCATAGGCCTAATGTAAATATTATATTATCAATTACTGCAGAATCACTGATGGAGGGGAAAATGACAGGAGATAACAGTAGGATCTAACTATTGTTTGACATTGGAATTTGAATTGGTGTAGAACTTACTAGACAAATAGTTTAGTCTACGATAAATAGGATGTTGCGAAAGCTAAACTAGAAAGAATGTACGGACGCAATAACGAAATAACTCCTGTCTATATCCTATCGTTCATTAATTCGTTACTTACATTTCCGGGTATTATACAAATAATTACATACATAGTAATGGTTATGTGTTTGTAAATATAGCATATTACAAACAGTCCCTATGCGCTTGTACTGAAATTCTTGAAATACAGGAATATCCCTAGCAGGATCATAAGATAAATACATGTGCTGAGAAGAGATGAACATTAGTGAGGTGAGACGATAAAAAATATAAAAGATGAGTATGAGATGAGATAAGATAAGTGTTATATGATTTTGAGATGAAATGAGAATAGTTGAGATGCTGTCTCTTATACACATCTAGATGTGTATAAGAGACAGTTACAGAGCCAAACCAAGGCAATATATATACACAGCCCAGGTGTGAATGCAAATAGTGGAATACAAGCTATGTGGCTCGGTTCCAGTAGATACAGAGAATATTTTGTCATTCTTAACGCGTCCTACGAAATTCTTACGAGACAAAACTAGGCTGTGTTCGAGCTTTCTTTACGTGACATTGCGATACCTACTGGCACTGACTTCTGTGAGACAATTGATAATAAAGCAAAACACAGGGGCGGATGTGGATTAAATTTTAGGTTTGGGGGTGAGAATGTTTCCAAATTCACAACATGAAAGGGGGTCCGGGAAAATTTTGATCCCTAGATGGCGGGAAATGAGTTTTCCGGACTTCTGCGGTGTCATTTAATAACTTTTAAGTTCTTCAAAATGCAACGTTTTCCCCCTCTTGAAAACGGTCAAGAAAATTTTCTCATTCTTATTACAGTAAATAGGCATAGAATGTAAAAAAAACAAATCTGTATCTGGGCTCTTAAGAATATTTCTGCACGATTAAAATCTTAACGGTACTGGATTTGGTTTACAGGAGTTCGTGTTTCGTACAGGTCATTCCATTCATAGAAGAAGTTTATATTGGAGAAAGCGTACCTGTCGTTAGCCATAGTAGCATCTTGGGGATATTTCCCGCACGATTAAAATCGTAACGGTACTGGATTTGGCCTACAGGAGTTCGTGTTTCGTACAGGTCATTCCATTCATAGAAAAAGCCTTTATTGGAGAAAGCGTACCGTACCTGTCGTTAGCCATAGTTGCCTAGGTCAAAACTAACTCCGGCTATATAAAATTTATTATAAGATTGGAAAATATTAATTTTATTATTGTAGTAGTGATACAATGTACACGTTTTAATTATTGTTATTTATTCGTTAACGTTATTATATTTACATTTAATTGTAATGTATTGTTTAATTGTGAATTACTATGTCCATGTTAAATTCTATTAAAATTGTATATTATTATTTAATAGGCATAGCCGAGTTCTAGCCTAGACTAGGCCTAAACAAGTTAGTATATGTGAGTGCATTAAATTATGAAAAATATAAATAAAACGCAAAAATTATGAAAGAATAATGGAAGAAGAAAGATGAGGAAAGAGACTTGGAGCGGCTGAAATATTTTTCGAAATTATACAATAGTAGGCGTAATCAATATGCTATTATTGCATTACGTTTTTGTAAAAGATTTTGGGCATTAATCGTCAGAGTTCTCGGTGCCACAGCCTACACTTTTCATAATTCGAAATCGAATCGGACCTTGAGGATATTTCCCGCACGATTAAAATCGTAACGGTACTTACAGGACCTGTGATATATTCAACTTGTGTAATTGTGTAACGTACATTTTATCGTAATAAAAGTCTCGTCTCTGCTTTAATATTGTATTATGGCTGCACAGTATGTTACTTTTATGAACACACTGCAAGAGCGTGTCCGCTGTTTTAAAAGCGTTTTTTCCAAAATAAAGTTATAGTAATTATATAATTAATAGTATGCAAGAAACAGCAAATCATTTTTAAGATTATAAAACATCACCTTTATTTCAATGTCATTCGTATTTATACAGGCTGTACAAACAATTGAAATTACGAAGAATCATTTTCTAATATTGTTTAGCAAACAACTTTTAAAGGTCAAAAAAGGCGAAAATTTTTTTTTTCTTATTTAGCTTAAATACTTTTCCGAACGCATGTAGGCGAATGAGAAAATAAAAATAAAATTTTAATGATGAACTTAAACAGTGTAATAATGCAATTGATGAATGCTTTAAATTTATAATTAAGGAAGATATATACGGGGCGCTGCCCCTGGACCCTGGCTCTTATACACATCTAGATGTGTATAAGAGACAGATCTATGACTGTACTTAGAAAGAGAAGAGCGTCCTCTACGTCGGGCCAGACGCATAGAAAACTTGCATTATAAATAATAGAGTTCTAAATACGAGCTCTACATTATAAAAAAAGAAGGGCGCCGCCTACGTCGGGCCCAATTAACCCTCATTTTTACTATGCGAGTGCTCTATCTTGTATTTTTAGTATCTTCGGTGCAAGCATAGATAATGAGCGTACAGTAGAACCCCTATTAAGGGGATGCCTTTGGGACCAAAAAAAAATTGTCGCCTTTAATAGGGGTGTCCCTATAGGGGTATTCCTATTCAGGGGGCACTAACCAAAAACATAAAAATGTCCCCTTAATAGGGTTTTTGGTATGTTTTCGTACAATGATGATATAGATTCCTCATAATTTTATTTTAATTGAGCTAATAATGAGTTAAAGTTGCAATGCAAAAAATAAATCATTTATGATATGAGATCAACTGATATGAATTAAAACTACAAAAGTTGTACCGTATAGGCCCGGGAGGAAGAAAATAAAGTATAAGCTATGTTCCCGATATTATCAATTTCTTGATCCGCGTTATATTGATGGTCAAGCATTCTTATTTTCAAATATTAAGCTTTCTATTGGGTGTACAAGATAGAATAGCATGAATATAGTAACGATTTAAGTAGAAGTAATTGGGTGCAGTTGTAAGGTATACATTAGCACCCAATATCAGTTCGCACACAACCCTTCACATAAAAAATCCTGCCTACTGGCTTGAATTTCCAGTGGCGAATGTTAGTTGGTTTGATTTATTTTTCTCCACAAAGTGGCGAATGTTAAATTACTGCAATTTATACGTTAATTTTTTTTTTTAATGTTTAATGATGGATTGCTAATTAACCAATCGTTATTATGCTCATATTTACACAGTATAAGAACGTAATGCACTATAGTGATAGAGAAATTTAGACAATTTCATAAAACAAGAAGGTATGCTAATAAAAAATTACTATTTTAAAAAATCTTTAGATGGGTTTTTCTCAAAAAATGCACTTTTCCACATTCGCCGCTACGTTATATAAGATGATATTGTTAAGAAAGTTTTAGGCACGAATGGCGATAATGTTAATGATATAGGGGCCTATTCGTTATCGTTTTTCTTAAGGTTGCGAACGTCCTTCATATTTTACAACAATCAATTTAATTTCAATAATAAAAGTAAATCAGAGCAGGTTTGCAAATGTTCAGTAAAAACGTTATTTTACCTCTTTGGGATTGTTGCGTTGCTATATAATAGTACGGTACGGTAATGGTATTATTATTATGGCTGCCGTTAATACAGATATTGAAAATCGCACATAAATCCTAAGAGTACAGTGTACTCCTTACCTCTTTTCTACCGGCTCCGTCATATTAGAAACCAAATGTTAGTCTATAGACTATTTCTCAAGTAACGCTTCTCAATAATCTTAATATCAACCACTTGGTGAGGAATCCTCGTCATATTTTGTGTCCTCCGTTTTAAATGATTTATCAAAACGCATTTTATGTGGATATTGTACCGTATTACCATATACCTAAACAAGCCTTAACAATAAGTAAAGCCTACCTTTGGAACACGTGTATGGAACGCCTACAGTGCCTTCGTCGGCAAGTATAGCTAGCACTCTGCTACTCATTCACCATTCTGCGACCAATTGCATTTAGCAGCATTTAGCATGCAGCGGGAATTTTTTCATTCGGTGGCGATATATATATAGTATATTTATTTATTTATTTATTTTTCAAATACAAAGAAAGTGGAGAAAAGATATTAGGCCCCATGATGGGGCTGAGGTCGTCTACACCCTACATCTGTGAAGGTATCTCTCTGGGTGCCTCTCTATTTCATATTTCTGGATCATACAAACGAATTAGTAATTCATACGAACGGGTTACAATATATTGTATACTTGATTAGCACTAATACGCTTTCGCATGTATGAGTGTGGCTTGAAGTGTACCTCTCTCTATGGGCAAAACCACTACTTTCGTCGACCTGAACAGTGGCGGACCTAGTGGGAGCACCTTTAGACATCGTGAACGATCAGATATGCCTCTATAATACCTGTAATTCCCAGGCTTTGAGGGGGCTCGCCCCTCATTCCCTTCCGGGGCGCTGCCCCTGGACCTCTATGCATATGAGAACTATAAATCAAATCATTCTTAATTTAAAGAAAATAAATCAATTCAAATTAATATATAGAACAGAAAATAATAACAAGGTAGAAATAAAAAAATGAATACACAATGTAAATTCAAAACACAATTAAAAAAGGCCAAAGAAACAGAATTACAGGAGAGAAAGAAGGAGGTAACTTTTGAGGGACGATTTAAAGGGCCTCTCTATTTCATATTCCTGGATCATACAAACGAATTAGTAATTCATACGAACGGGTTACAATATATTGTATACTTGATTAGCACTAATAGGCTTTCGCATGTATGAGTGTGGCTTGAAGTGTACCTCTCTCTATGGGCAAAACCACTACTTTCGTCGACCTGACCAGTGGCGGACCTAGTGGGAGCACCTTTAGACATCGTGAACGATCAGATATGCCTCTATAATACCTGTAATTCCCAGGCTTTGAGGGGGCTCGCCCCTCATTCCCTTCCGGGGCGCTGCCCCTGGACCTCTATGCATATGAGAACTATAAATCAAATCATTCTTAATTTAAAGAAAATAAATCAATTCAAATTAATATATAGAACAGAAAATAATAACAAGGTAGAAATAAAAAAATGAATACACAATGTAAATTCAAAACACAATTAAAAAAGGCCAAAGAAACAGAATTACAGGAGAGAAAGAAGGAGGTAACTTTTGAGGGACGATTTAAAGGAGGAGTAAGTAGTAGTATTGCGGATATCTAAGGAAAGAGAGTTTAAGAAAGAGAGGGCATTAAAGCTAAAAGAAAGTTTGAAAAGTTCGAAGTGGGGTCTGGGGATATACAAGTCCCCTTTAGTGATCTGTCGAGTGTTCATGCGGCCATTTGCAGTTAATGCTCATACATTTTAACATATATTATGCTATTTACATCAGAAATATCTATAAAAAAAATACTCGAAAAAACATTCAAGGAAATTGGGCAAATTTTACTTCGTTTAGGACATACTGGGCGTTTCATGAATCTCTGATAAAGTATAATATTGACAACAATAGAACAATCGACATACTTGCAGTGAAGTAAATCTAAAACCTATTCATGATGTATGATCACCTGAGGTTATTCAAAAACGTGAACAATATAGTTTAACAAACTTTATTAATCAAAACTAAAACGTGGGTGCCGATGTTTCAATTGATATAGACGTGCTTTCAAAAAAGTATTTTTGCAGTGCATCGTACTGTGGTACGAAGCATAGTAAATACCTCAATGAAAGGAAATAACCTTGAATGGATTCAAAAGATACGAAGCGTTTTTTTTTTGTTTTTTTGTATGGATTTATGGTGTCTAAATATTTATTGATCACCGACTGCCTGTATACAAACAGGCCGTCATGCCACATTATAATTTGATTTCACGATATGGATGCTTAAAATATAAGGATATGGTACAGTCGTAGTCTCTTTTCAGTTTAACATTAAACGATTATACTTGCACCGTATTAAACTCTTGTAGAACAACACGTAGGCCTACAGTTATTTGAAATACAGAGACGAGGAGGGGAAGGGGTAGGAAGGGACTTTCACAGATTGAGGGTCTAGACTACGCCTCAGCCCCAACCAAGGTGGGCTGAGGCGATCTAGAAAAAATGTATCGGATTATGGTACCTCTAGATGGACATAAATTTTTTTTTCCCGCAACTCTTCTTTCTTTTTTCTTTTTTCTTTTTTTTAAATTAGAAAACCACTTTCTATAACAGGCCTAGGCTAATTAACATAAATAAAAATCTTAATTCCTTATTCTAAGCGCTGGTGTCGATGATGGTCGATGTCTTTTTCACTTCGTTTGGCTCCCACTTTGATCTTGATCTTAGGACATACAAGTTTT